AGCGGTTCCAACTGCCAGGACATCAAAATGTTTCTATGCATGGAGAACTCCTGCTGTATTTCTGGGTGCAGCTCATCTGTGTTGACCGGGTCTTCCAGTAGTGGTCACTGTTTTCTTAGCCTTAACTCTTCTCTTGTTCATCTGTGGGGGCACAGTAGGAACTTGTGCTCCTTTCAGATGGGCCCTGGTGTGACGTCACCTGCGGCTCAAGGTCAGATTATCCCAGAGGTAAGAGCTCCTACTTGCGGAGCAGCCTGACTTTACTACTACAACGTAGGGTTTCTGGGATTTTTCTAAATTCGTGGCTGGTATAGTAGGTAGGAAATGGGTACATTTCCGTGGCAAGAAACAAAGAGCTTGTTCCGTCTGCCTACAAAACACAGATTTCCAAGTTCACTTCCTTGCCCTCCAGAAATGACCGGACGGGTTATCTCTGAGATTCCCCAACATCAGATCGTTCCGTGTCAGCGGCTCAGTCTAGCCAGCAAAATGACCGACGGACCCCAACATGTGCTGCGTGTTTAAGAAACCCTCATTGCTCTCCATGTTCTCCCTCAGTGTGCAGATGTGGAGGATGATGACTGGGACATATCATCCGTAGAGGAAGAAAGATCTCTGGGGAAGAAAACTGGGAGAGAACAGAGGGAACCTCTACCTGTGAAGAATGAGTCAAATTCTACTCAAGTGCCAAGCGCCTGGGGTGCATCTAATCTGAAGGGGCCAAAGGGAGAAGGTTAGTGGCTTTAGTGTCTTGACAGTCCGTTTTCCGGTTATTTGTTTCATCTTTATAAATATCTAATGAAGCTATGTTAATATATCATCAGACAGAAACGTGTTTCTGTTGTTGGTATAACAATTACCTTGACGCTTTCACAAAGCACACAATATAACAAATACCGTGTGGTTTGTGCGCATTTGTTCCCTTTTCAAGTCCTTTAATCTGTGTATATTTATGTAATTTGGACCTAGTCTTTAAATTTTAATATTATTTTTGAAAATGCCCATACAAATATTCTCCATGCAGGTGCCTCGCAGAAATTAAAATTTGTGCTCTTACACCTGAATGGGGCCATTCTTCTGGCGGTCTTCCTTCGTTAATCTGTTTACACATTAAATGTTTCTCTTTATTTTCTTTGAAGAAAGATTTCTCTTGCAACATTATAGCCAGTGGGAGGAATTACAAATGAAACCAGGAGTTGACATTGTTCCTGGATGAGTCCTGGGGTCTGGCCAGGTGGTCCAGAAGGGCTTGTCTGCGCCTGCAGCGTCCGTCCTCGGGTCTGTGTTGCGCCCCGAGTTCCACCACATCTCTCAGTAGTAGGTCAGACTACGGTTTCCAGACTCCTCAACTTTAGACATGATAGGCTAAGACAGATAGGGGTATGGCTCATTTTCCGCACTCACGACACCTCTCACTGACCCCCGTCAGGTCTTTTGGCGCCCCCATCCATACTTTAAATTAATACGTGCAAACCTATCTGTCCTTCCCGTTTTCAGTGGGATCTCTCGCCACCTCACTTTCTAAGACGAGCCATTGCTGTCTGCCCTCCAAGTCACCTTTCCTCTCCTCCAGAACGTGAGCCGTGACTTGACATCTACACGGTGCCCGCCACTAGGTTATCTGTGCTTCATATTAAAGCCCATCGATCCTAGAAAACCCCTATTTACCATTTAGCTCCTACTTGGCCTATTATACTTTTATTCTCCTTTCTTTATACCTGTCACTCAGTCAGTAACAACAGAACATTACTGAGCATGGTTAAGGGTCCTGGCCCTGTGCTGAATGAAGGGAAGGAGAGATGCCAAGTGGAAGCCTCTAGACAGGGTCCCTGATGGTATCCTGGAGATGTGGCCATTTCGTGGTCAGATTGCACTTGTACCTTCCTCCACAGCCTGTGGGAGCTGGGGGCCTGTGGATTAGCCAACAGACCTGGACGCTGAGCGATAAGGGATTTTTACAGACTTGCCTGATCATTGAAGCTCCTTTCTTCTTCTGTCTCTCCCTCCACAGGACTTCAAGATGAATCCAGCACACTGAAAAGCAGCTTAGTAACTGTGACTGATTGGAGCGACTCTTCAGATGTATAACCGCAGCCTGAGTCAGAAGGTGCAGATGCCAACAGGATTCCAGTAATCTGCCCACAAGATTCTAGCTCTCCTGCCTTACAGTATTTCCCACAATAACAAGGAAGCTGATTCAAAGAACAAGGGTCTCTTTAACAGCACCTAATTCAGTATTGAAAAACAAATTGTCAACAGTATTTTGAATCATATAGAGGGTGTTTAAGACTTCTGCTGAATAAAATTAATGTCATTTGAAGTCATAAAAAGTTTTTTCTTCAGAACGGCACTCTAGCGTTTAAGTGTATTTTTTTCAACTAATTTTTAAGTGATTTTTTTTTTAAACTTAAAGCAGGTTTTGGTTTGAATTAAAAAAATTTTTTTATATCTTTCTTGTGTGCATTATCACACTGGAAGTGTTTTATTATAAAATTCTGTTAGTATGCTTAAACTTGAACTACTGAAATCAATGAAATCTTAAGAGTAGATTGGTTATCTTTCATATAGAAATAAGTTTAGAATTATAAAAATACAGCTAGGCCGCCGCTTTGAGCCATTGTAAGCACGTTGTATTAAACAATTACTTTAAGAACGTTAAATACCATTTCTGCAGTATAATCTTTGCCTTGGATATTTTATGAATAAAATGTAGCTGTTTTCAATCAGAATCTGAATAGAAAAGATTGAGTCATTACTAAATTCATATGTGCATGTGGGTTTTTTTTTTTCCACTTTCTTCAAATGCCCAACCCATATTATAAAATACCTCAAAACTAATTACTTCTGTTCTTAACAACCGTCAATGGTCAGAAAGTTCATATAAACTTTTTTGCATTTTTTTGTACTTTGTGGTACTGACAATTGTTTCCAAAAAAAAAGTAACATTTTAACTGATAGTCTGTTGGGTTTTGGATCTCTTTTCAATTTGGCAACCTTTCAAGTAAAGCCCTCCATTACATCATTGTGACTGTGGCTGAGTCATTAAGGATGAGTGCTGAGCTAAACTTACCTTGTTGGGGGCTTAGGCTTTTCCTGTTAGCCGTGCCACACAACATCCTGATCTGAAGTCACAACAATTTATGTTTCTGCCCCCAAGGGTCCTTTTCACTTGTCCACTTGCACCCTTTTAAGCACTTCCCACAGGGGCCATTTTATGGAAACGCACTCACTTTCCATGTAAAAGCTTTATATAATGCCAAATCAAATCTCCATATAGGGGGACAGAGCTAAGCAACACACCAAAGCCACACCGTACCCAAGAAGGCACACGGGCCACTGTGCTCATTCAGTCACTTTTTCAACAGGTATTTATCGAACTACGTGGGTGTATTTTGCTTTTTTTTAAAGATTTTATTTATTTGAGAGAGAGCAAGCTCGAGTGCACAAGCAGTGGGGAGGAGCACAGAAGAGAGGGAAAAGCAGGCTCCCCGCAGAGCAGGAAGCCTGACACAGGACCCTGAGATCACCACCCGAGCCAAAGGAGGACGCCCAACCGACTGGGCCACCCAGGCGCCCCTATTTTGCCTTTTTAACATGCATAGTTCATTTAATCAGAACAACTTTGGGACACAGTGAATATCATAATCCTCATCCTGAAGATGTGAGAAATGCAGAATTAAGTAACTTGCCAAAAGCCATACAACTTGAAAGTGACAAAAGCAGACTTTTTACCCCGGTCTCTAAGCTCCCCGTCTTCACTCCTGATGGAAAGGGGAGGGGAAACGGGATGAACTGCTACACAAACCCAGTATTTAAATTAAGTCGGCACATCTGTGTTGCAAAAGCCACTCCTTTAACTCCTCTCTTTCGTCCTACCACGCTGTCCTCGGAGATGTGGTTTGTTCGATTTTCTTTGGACGCTGTGTTTCCCCTCACTGATGCACAGTTAACATGTTTGCAGTTCCCGACAGAGCTTTTCTGACCTTCCACCCCCCTCCTCTCCCTAAATTCTTCAGGAGCTAGAATGCTTCAGTACAATCTAAACATTACCTTCACCAGCACAGCTCTGAAATAAAAAACTTGGTTTTAAACACACACCCATAAAACCCCGCCCCCACACTGGCCTGTAGCACCTAACCTCCCTTGTGGCTTTCAGTTCATTTGTATCCCTAGAAGAGATATTTTTATATATATTATATATATAGTATATATTTTTATACTTATATTTATTTTACTTTTATATATTACACATTTATGTATTTTATATATTATATATTTTACATATATACGTATCTATATTATATATAATTTTTTTAGTAACAAACTTGTTTATTTCCTCTTCTTCCCATTGAACATCTCCAAATAATGTGATTTTCCCTTTTAAGTTTTTCATGCTGTTCAGAGATCACGGGGGCAACTTACACGCCTTGAAAAATGGTAAGTCTCTCCATTACCCAGCTTGGTTGTGCACTCAGGGCCCGAGAGACACACTGGAACTCAGCCATAGGCTGTGAGCGAGGCAGGTGCCATGCAGGCTCTGGGACCGTCCTTGGCTGGCTCCAAAGTCAGCCATGACCCGCGTCTCCAGCCAGGCTCGTGCTGACCCTCCAGCCCAGAACCTGCTGCTTTCTGTATCAGAAAAGCCTCAGCAGCTCTTTAAGGCGGACGTGCCAGGCAATGTCTTGGCCCCATTAGCCCGTGAGCGGTCACTGAGAATCAGTGGTGACAAACAGGTGTAAGGAACCGGAAGCCGTCGCGACACAGCCAGTAACCTGTCCGTTCAACCCGAACATCTTTTGAGGAACAGTCTCAGATTGCCCCCACACTGTTCACAAGACACCACTTCTTATACACCTTCTGTTTAATACATGAAGGAAAAGAAACAAGGATGGGGACAAAGAATGCCACGTGTGAATGATCAAGGAGGCTCCAACACAAATACTTCATCCCTTGGTGCTAAATACTTCCCATGTTCTATAAATATACAAAATATATACAAATCCTGTAAATAACCTGTTTATTTTTTTTATAGAAAGCCACAACAGAAAATGATTAGAACATTTACATCCATACGATCAGCAAATTCTCCAAATTCATGTTTTAAAAATAGTTTTGAGTGTGAATTAGAGGAAGGCCTTGAGGGGGCATTATTTTGTGAACAGTTCACTTTTATAATGACTCAAGACAGCTCGTAGCAGTGCTCTTTTCAGACGTAAGCATTTTTATCAAACTGTTTTGAAGGGTTTGTGGTTTTAAAATCTCCTTCTGCGCCATGATACTTTGTCCGAGAAGACAGGACAGACGTGGCCCCATTGTATGCGTATCCCATTCTGCAAGGCAAAACACAGTCTGGTAGATCCTGCTGCACATGGAGGGCAGAAACCGTTACCCTCTGCTTCTGTCCCAGCAAAGCTGCAAACTTTCCCTGCTTACTGTTAGTGAGTTTTCTCTCTCCTTCTCTCTCACTGCCACCACCGCCCCCCCCCCACAAATATCTCACTGTCATTGCTGAACAGTCAGTGTCAGTGCGAATCTCAGCAGAAGAAACTCGTGGCTTGTTCATCTGTTCAGTTTTTCTCTTTTAAAACTCATCTTCCTGGACCCTGGCGGACAGTACTGACCTTCATCAGGAATCTCTGCCTGTATGAAAACGATGAGGCCACAGTGAAGAATATGCCCCACGGTAAGCCCTATCGTTCTGCTCACAGAAATGGCTCTGGAATGTAAGAAGGATGAGCTCTGTCTTTTTAAATTAACTATATATTTATTCTCTTCACTGTATTTATCTTATTTAATATTACATTCACTATATATTCCTAATTTTAATCAATCCTAGTTTTTTGACGTTTCTAAGAATCGTGTGAACAATCTATAATTTGCCACACCTGTAATAATTTTCACAGGTCATCTTTGTCTCTTTTTCATACCTGGGAGGTTTGTTGTTGTCAGATATTGAAAAGCAAAATATGACACCACCAATTATGCAGAGTGAGGCTCCTGCCCATCCAATAAACAGAGCAGCTCCTAATTCGTACCTGTGAGGAAGTATTGCACAAGTATTATGGCTGACTTATTTGGGGCGTAAACAGTATTTAAGACTAACGAGCCAACATTTACTAAATGCTCATCATAAACGTTTGCTACTGGAGCTTTTACAGGAAGTAATAACACCTTTTATCTGTATAACGCTTTAAACTTTACTCAACGTGTTTTTCTAGCCATCTCTTGATTATGTCTCCCCGACTTCCCAAAAGGAAGAAGTGATCCCTGCAGGCAAAGCAGAGGCAAAGCCGGTTGAGGAGCCCCAGCCTTCCGGCTCAGCCGGTATCCCCCTCTGGGCCTGTCTGAAGCTCACAGAGTGTTCCATCTATTTAGTCCACTGCACAGGGTAAATTATTCAGCAGATTCCAGTTAGAAAATGGCAGGCTGCCTTTGCTTTCAGTTTAATTAAATTCAGTAAACATTTATTTGCAAATCATGAGCAAGGTGTTGAAGGATGGCAGAATATGCCACCCTCAAACAGGCCACCGGGGCATGAGAATTATTTTGAGCTAAAGGCAACAACGGAGAAGCAAATACCAGAAAAGCTCTCCGCCCCTCCCCATTTGCCTTAAAGCAGGACATCAATTTGTAAAGATGTCCCCCGTCCCTCCCACCCCACCAACGAGGAAGGACAGAAGTTAATCACCAGAGACAACAGTACACCTAGGGGGGCACACAAAGGGCACCAGGGGGATCTTCGAAACAAACTTGACAAACCAGCCATATCTTCCATTAGTTCCCCATAGATCTGCCACCCCAGAGGCTCAAAGTCCTTTTCTCTGGTCTTGTCACCTCTCTCTGAGCTTATTGTTCTTTTATTTAGATGCCCTATAAGCCCAAGTTCTAACCGGCACTTTGAGTTACTCATCACTGGGTACTCCTACGTGTCTCCATGATGCACATGTTAACCAACTCTTTTTTTCTCCTGTTAATCTTTTTTTTTAAAGATTTTATTTATTTATTTGACAGAAAGAGAGAGCACAAGTAGGCAGAGCAGCAGCAGAGGGAGAAGCAGGCTTCCCGCTGAGCAGGGAGCCCGACGTGGGGCTCGATCCCAGGACCCTGGGATCATGACCTGAGCCGAAGGCTGACATTTAACTGACTGAGCTACCCAGGCGCCCCAATCTGTCTTTTGTCAGTATAATTTATAGGGCCCCAACTGAGAACCCGGGAAAGTAGAGGGGGGAAAAGTTAAGTTTTTCTTTCTCTACAGAGCCCGTAAAAAGTCAGTGCTAGATAAAGCGCTATCTTGCTTGTCACCATAATCTAGTGGGAGATAAGTACAAAATAACAGCATTTAGCGATAGATTGCATCTGGCTGGCCACAGTACTCTGCTGATGCCTCAAGCAGATGCATAGCTCCACAAGATACACAAGACAGCGCCTACCTTGGGGAGGTCCCCACACAAAGTTACAAATAATGCTATGGAGAACAAAAAAGGAAATCACTTTTTGCCGTGGAGGACTAGAGGAAATCCTTTCAGGGGAGGAGTACTCACCCAGAAAAACAAGTAAGGAATGACAAAAGTATACCAAAATGTTAGGGTTGTGTGTTTTCATGTTTGCCTATCCTTCTTTTGAAGAATAGGGTTTTTTTTAATAAAGAAGTGATTCTCCAGATTTTTTGGCCCATAGATTTCCACCGCAAGGCAAAGACTGATGGACGCTACCCCAACCTAATGGGGATAAAATGAAGTCCAAGTGGGAGGGGTCTCTTTCGGTCACACAGAATCCACAGAAGAGCTGAGACAGGAGAATCAGAGGTGAGGGTGACAAGGGGCAAGGCAGGGCCAAGGTGGGCTCCCTCCGCAGCCTGTCCCCTGAGCCAGGCACCAGGGCAGGCTTAGGTCTCGAGGTCAGACTGCACCGCTGAGAGTAGCGGGCATATCCCGCCTGGGCCTGTCCCGAGTTTTGCCTCGTCTGTTTCTATGAGCCGTGTCACTGGCTGACGTCCTGGCCGGGCATGGGTAGGCTCTCTGGTGTGACCTAAGTCACAGCAGTAATGGAGGAGTGGCCCTGACCGCCAGCTGGGGGAAGCCAGAAGCAACACTCATGGATTAGGAACAGATGATCCACTCGCTCATTTGCATATCTGGCTACGGTGGTAATTTCATAGCCTGCGTTCACAATTGGGAAGAGGCGATGCACACGATGCATGCTGCCCTGGGGTCCCTTCTTTTCTCACTCTTGTGTTGCCTTTTCTGGGAAACCCAGGTGGTCACTGAAGCAAGGAACAGCCATAGCAGAACAACTAGGGGTAAGCACTTCATCTTGCGCTAGAGCACTATGTTCTGGAAACCAAGAAAGTCTCCAAGTGCTCCTGTCAGAAGCAATGGCAGAAACAGAAGAATGCTGCAACGTGGAACAAAACACCTTCAGTCTGCACGCAAAAGCTGGCCCCAAAGGACTCAGGAGCGAGGTGCACCAATGAAAAAGAACTGGTCAGAACAAGAGGGTGAAATTCACGGTTTTGTAAAAAATGCCTTCGTTAAATGTCATGCCATACATCTAAAAAAGGACATCCTGAATTTCCACAATCAGCCCTTTTATGATGTTTGAACGCAATCATGCACATAAAACAAGCAGAGTGCCTCCCAGTTGTTAGGTGCAGGCTCTTTAAAACATCTCCAAGTCCTAGGGAGCCCGGTGGCACAGTCGGTTGAGTGTCTGACTCTTGGTTTCAGCTCAGGTCATGGTTTCAAGGTCATGAGACTGAACCCCACATCAGGCTTTGCGCTCGAAGTGGAGTCTGCTTGAGATTCTTTCCCTCTCTCTCCCTCCCCTTCTGTGCCACCCCATGCATGCACGCGCTCTCTCTCTCAAAATAAATAAATAAAATCTTAAAAGAAAACAAAGAAACAAACAAAAATCTGCAAGTCCTACAGTAGTAAGCACCAAATGCCCACGGTCATGCTGTCACTGAAAACACAGCTGAAAGTGAGCACATCGAACATTTCTACCTGGAGGACATTATCGTGGGATTACCGTTTAGTGACACTTCCTGTTTTTCTCTATTTTTGTCCTCCTAGGTTCAGGTTGTATTCGTTCCTCAAACTATGCCTTAGTACTACTCTTAGTATAAACACCCCCTGAAGCAACAGTCTGAGGTTTTTCTTAAAAAATATTTAGCTTTCTAAAATAGGATCCCAGTGCTGGGTACTACGGTTGATTAAAAATAAGCTTCTAATTATTAATAGTAGTCAATCAAGGGTGATGGTGATAGAAATCATAAACCGCTGCTCGGCACCATGAACTCACTCAAAGGAGCATGCAAACATGTATACAGTGTCGTCACAAACCAGAGGATAAATTACTCAGGCAGGCCAAATGTCAGGACGTGTGTCTTTATATTCATTTAAGCTCATCTGGAAACTTCCTGAAGAATCATGGGTTTGTCTTATGTTAAAAACTGGTTCGTGTGTTCCTATTTTTAAATATATTTTCATTTTTCTTTTTTTATTTTAATTTATTTTTTAAAGATCTTTATTTATTCATTTGAGACACAGAGATACAGAGAGAGAGAGAGATCATGAACAGGGAGAGAGGCAGAGGAAAAGGGAGAAGCAGGCTTCCCGCTGAGCGGGGAGCCTGATGTGGGGCTGGATCCCAGGACCCTGGGATCATGACCTGAGCCGAAGGCAGATGCTTGACCATCTGAGCCACCCAGGTACCCTCATTTTTCTTTAAGTCAGTAAATATAGACTCTATTCCAAGAAAAATATCATTTCCATTTGAGTTCCTTGTGAATTCTGTCAGAGACAAACAATAAATAATACCAGCTTAGAGCTGAAGTCTTCAAGAGACTCCATGTCTACACCAGTAATTTTTAAGAAGCTGGCTTTTGTGACTTGGTTCTTTCTTTTGCAGAGACTTTCCTTCTTCATTCTGTGGAAAGACACGTAGAGCTGACTTACTCAGCAGGGACTTGAATTCACACCTATCAGTGTGCGTGATCTGGCAAAAACTGGTTGGTATTACTGAAAGACGGGATTGAGAGAGAGCATTATAATATCCACTCAGATTTGTTCCAAAGCATGCCTCCTTTGACACTCACTGGGAAGCTTAGTCTCTGCCTGGAAATCGTTCTTCATTTTTTTGGTAATGCTAAGAAGCTGACTTCAACACCTCAGAAGATCACCAAATTTCAGATGCTCTGTTGCAGGTCTTTCTTTCGTTAACAATATCTCCTGGCCCCAGACAACCTTCCCCACTCAGAGCATGCCCTCTTTATTGACCTGTTATGATCACCGATGTGTTTCCATTATTCTGAAAAGCTATAAATCTGCTTAGCACCAGACAGATCCATGATTGTCAGGGTGAGGACAGAATTTTGTTTCATGGATCAAAACATTGTTTTTAGAGTACCTCAAATAATCCGCTCAGTTGCTAGGACTAATCAAAAGCTGCCTGACTTCAATTCATTTATGTCATTGAATGTAAATTCAGTAAATAGGCAAAAACTTTACTTCTAATCAGAGAAATGAAAACACAGATTAATTGCTTAAAAGTTCCCCCAAAAAGAACCATAAAGATCCAACGCATTCAAATGTCCTCTGTACTACTGAGTGAAATTATTCTCACCTACTTGGCTGTGCTTGGGGCCCTAGAGAACTAGTACCACACCAGGAGGCCTTAATTCTGATCATCTCACATTGAGACTCATATTTCAGCCCTGTAACCTTCACGGTAATCCGAAGGCATGGATTGGAGAATACCTCTCATTTGTACCTCCTCTTTCGTCTTCCTTGCATCCAAACCCTTGTCGTGACTTATTTGCCGTCCACGGGGAGCTTATGTGGCCTACCCGGGTCACTGCCCCAGAAACGAAATGCCAGGCATTGTGCTCGAGGTGGACGAGAGAGACACGGCTATGCTTTCAAGGATTTCAGAGTCTAGCGGGGATCGGCAGCTACTAAGCAAGCACCTTTCTGCCAAGTAAACACTATCTGTTTTTTTTTTTTTAAAGATTTTTTTTATTTATTTATTTGAGACA